GTATATATGACTTTTTTTTTTTTCTATATTTGTGTCTGCAGATTAATGAACACATGATGCTTCATACTTTCCCTCTTGTGGAGAAGTGACAGTATTGTTTGCAGCCTCAAGGGTATAAAGTGTAAGTGTTAGCTCAGATGTTTTGTGTCAGATTTTCATAGTTGGATAATTATTTTTCCTCCAGAGCCTTTTCTCACGGCTCTCTCATGCTCTCACTCTTCTTCCATCCATCTCTGCCACAAACACGACGCTCTTGTCAGTCAGAGTCGTGCTTATGAAGCGAGCAGCTACATTGGCCTGCGGTGTCATTGAACTTGACCCGCTCTAAAGCCTGACAGTGAGAGTGATGATGGAGCTGACACAGACAGGAGGCCAGTTGTGAGAAACAGACCTTTATCAACTAATGTGTCCAAAGCCAGTTCTCCGGAGCCGGCGTGTGGTCCAGTGAAATATGGACCTCCAGATCATAGTGAGAGAGTGATGGTCATCTATGTCATCCTTTTATTCTATAGCTCTGCCATGAGAGCTCTTTCATGCTCTTTCCTTTTCATTCTCCTGGGGCCACTCTTTACTCTCTATTCACAGAGTATTAGTGTGAGCAGGTGAATCTCATGTCTGTGTGTGAGTACAAAAGCTGCTCAGCCTCTGTCTGCAGATAGAGAGCGGTGGGCTGTCACACACTCCTCCCTCTCCACAGAAATGTATTAATGGCTCCATTCACACTCAAATGCTGCAGCGTCCCGGCCTGCTCTCAGCTCTGCCTATGCTGCTGCGCTGATGCTGGTATTTCTTAAATGTCAACGTCAGTCATGAATAGGTCAGGACAACAAGCACTTAAATAAGGCTTTGTCACTGATTAATGAGAGGTGCAGAGGACTGGGAGGCCACTGACTGCTGCTGCAGATAAAACAAAGAGTGTTGTGTAAATAGCTGTGGGTGCTCTGCTCTCGCCTCCTGACTCCCCCTGTGCAGACCACACGCCATCAGAAAACTGACAGCAGCAGAGGGGATGAAGGGAACACATGTTCCCAGCCACAGGACAGGGGCAAATCCAATCACAGCCCAGCCAGCCCACACTGGCTCCATTTGCAAAGCCAACAGGCTTTTTACCAGCATTGTTGTAATAGTGTTAACAGGTTGGCTCCCTGCCAAGGAGAGCTATAGTGGTAACATGCTGATGTTATTGACTACTTATCCATGAAAACAACACAGCATGCTCAACAAACCAACTACTCTGTCCAAATAAACCTCAGGCGCAGGAGTTTGGAGTCCTTCATAACAAAGAAACATTAATTGAGACAATGTACATTAAGAGAAAAAAAACATAATTTCTGGCCTTTAGATTAATGAAAAGTGTTTTGCATTATGACTAAATTATGATTCAATAAGAACAAAAACAATGTTTATGTATTATTGAAGTTAACCTGGTCCTGTTGTACCTTGTGTGTGATATTAGAGCAGAGCAGAAGCTGGCGCCTCATTTGACGCAGCTGTCAGTCGGTGTCGATCCGTGTGTACAGAGCGTGCACCCCCGACGCCTCTGACTTTCAATCATGTTCATTTTTTGCTCTCCCAGAGTAATTAACTTCTGGAAATGATTTACCCTTGAATGCTTGTCAGATCAATTTCTCATTGGAGGTCTGTGCAAACCTGCAGCCTGTCGGATCTCCGCCGGTGAGCACATCAGGCCGCCCGATACCAGAGAGTCACGGGAAAGTTCAGAACAAAGGTGTTTCTAGGGGTGTATTCAGACCTGCACATTTGCTCCACTTTAAACGGACCAGGATTCGTTTGGAACTCTGATCCGAATCTTTTATGCAGGTCTGAATACACACAAACGAATCCTGGTCCGGACCAAAGAACCGAACCGAGACCCACTTTTTTAGGTGGTCTCGGTCCGCTTCCAAACGAATTCTGGTCCAAGTCGAATCAGGTCTGAATACATCCGGTGTCGATCCGACACAACTCCAAGATACGTGCGCATTTTTTGGGCTTAACAAACCGCAGACAGAAACTGAGGAATTAGCCACGCAGCGGCTAACTATGCTGCTAACTATGCTGCTAACTATGCTGCTAACTATGATGCTAACTATGCTGCTAACTATGCTGCTAACTATGATGCTAACTATGCTGCTAACTATGCTGCTAACTATGCTGCTAACTATGATGCTAACTATGCTGCTAACTATGATGCTAACTATGCTGCTAACTATGATGCTAACTATGCTGCTAACTATGATGCTAACTATGCTGCTAACTATGCTGCTAACTATGCTGCTAACTATGATGCTAACTATGATGCTAACTATGCTGCTAACTATGCTGCTAACTATGCTGCTAACTATGATGCTAACTATGATGCTAACTATGCTGCTAACTATGATGCTAACTATGCTGCTAACTATGATGCTAACTATGCTGCTAACTATGCTGCTAACTATGATGCTAACTATGCTGCTAACTATGCTGCTAACTATGATGCTAACTATGCTGCTAACTATGATGCTAACTATGCTGCTAACTATGCTGCTAACTATGATGCTAACTATGCTGCTAACTATGATGCTAACTATGCTGCTAACTATGCTGCTAACTATGATGCTAACTATGCTGCTAACTATGCTGCTAACTATGATGCTAACTATGATGCTAACTATGCTGCTAACTGTGCTGCTAACTATGATGCTAACTATGCTGCTAACTATGCTGCTAACTATGATGCTAACTATGCTGCTAACTGTGCTGCTAACTGTGCTGCTAACTATGCTGCTAACTATGCTGCTAACTATGATGCTAACTATGCTGCTAACTGTGCTGCTAACTATGCTGCTAACTATGATGCTAACTATGCTGCTAACTATGATGCTAACTATGCTGCTAACTCTGCTGCTAACTATGCTGCTAACTATGCTGCTAACTGTGCTGCTAACTATGATGCTAACTATGCTGCTAACTCTGCTGCTAACTATGCTGCTAACTATGCTGCTAACTATGATGCTAACTATGCTGCTAACTCTGCTGCTAACTATGATGCTAACTATGATGCTAACTATGATGCTAACTATGATGCTAACTATGATGCTAACTATGCTGCTAACTATGATGCTAACTATGATGCTAACTATGCTGCTAACTATGCTGCTAACTGTGCTGCTAACTATGATGCTAACTATGATGCTAACTATGATGCTAACTATGCTGCTAACTATGCTGCTAACGCTACACAACACTGAGCCGTGTGCAGACTGGAGCAGTGAGGAGATGCTGTGCAACAGACTTATGGAGTTAAAACTGTTCACAGTATACAGTGATGTTAATGCAGCATCTTCAAACCATTTGCATTATTAAAAGCCTGACGTGTTTGACTCACGTCTCAAAGAGCAATATTCTGCATCATGCAGTGAACTGTGTTCTTTGGTTCCTACTGATCCTCAGCGTCTGTTTGTCCCGTGGTTATTATAGATCCATGGTTTATCCACAATGCTGCTGTCAGTAAGTTGTGGAACAGGGTTATAATAGATCCATGTGTGGGACAGGACACGGAGCGCACAGTCTCCTTCGGCTTTCTCCTCACGCATTCTCCAACACTGTTCCAATATTTAAAACAACGTGTTTGGCCTGCGTCATATGAGCTGCTGTTGATGTTGATGTTGATGTTGAAGGTGGTTTTGCTCTAAAAAGAGCAAACATGCTGCACATACGAGCCCTCTGTTTTCCTCCGGTTCCGCGTCTATCCTCCGTGAGCTCTCGCTGTCCAATAGGAGCCGATCGTCACACGTGTCAATATGTTTATATAAAAAAGTTCACTTGCAAAAAGTACAGTCTGAATACAAACCGGAGCAAAAGAAAAAAGTTTGGTCCACTTTTGATTCGGATCAAGCAAGCGGAGCAAAGGACTTTTCAGGTCTGAATACACCCTAGGAAGCACGTGTGTCAGGAAAGTGTTTTTCAAACGGTAAAGACATCATGCGAGGTTTAGAAGAGATGTGGATGTGATCATTGGAATAGCATTTTTCATGCTAAAGGTGGATGTTCCAAACGCGTATGACGTTCCATCAATGACAAAGTGCATTCATTTATTTAATACCACAACCTATAAATGTGTAAATAAATAAAACATTCTTCTGTAATCGTTCTGGAATTATTCTATATTTTGTTTATTTCTGTAAAACAAGTCAAAGTACTTCAACAGCTGCATTTAATCAGAAAAAAACAAATCTTCACTTTAAGAATACCCAATGTTTGCTTTTCTTTTATTGTACCTTAAAACGTAACGTGAGAAAGTCCCGTGATTTTCAGAAAGAAACTGTAATCTAAATACTAAACTTTAAAGCACTTAAACATTCTACAACATGTGTGACATTTATCAACCTTCATAGACTTTGGTCTCTCCCTATGGACCAACTCATGTGTGTATTTTGTGTTTTAACTGTTGATTCTCTGACCTGTGTTGGTGATTTCAATGGTTTTGTTAAGTCTCTGAGATGACTTCTGTTGTGATTTAGGGCTATACAAGAATAAGTTGTCGTTGTTGTAAAGTAAAAACTGTTAGGGAATGTAGATACTCAGATTGTAGATTGTATTCTGTTACTCCCCAACACAATCAACAGCATCCACCCAGTTTCAGTTATCCCCAAAACGCAGAAATAGAGTACCAGGCTAATGCAGCGTTAGAATGGAAAATGCATACCTTGATGTTAGATTCTATGTTTTTGTGTTTGTTGCTAAACCTGGCCTTTCAGAGCCAACTATGTAAAGAAGAAGAGAAACATCATAATTCTAGCGTGGCAGACAGCATGATGCGACTTCTTTCCCTCTTCATCTTCCCTGGCAGTTCACCAAGGACAGGCGGCAGAAAGCAATTGCTATTAGTGTGCATATATAGCACAGTCCTCCCAGAGAAATATAGGCAGCTTTTAGCAGATGAGCAACCGTGGCCATCAATTAAGATTAGGCCAAGCGCGATCACTGTGTCATAAGAACAACAAGACGGAGCTCGCTCAATGTCGAAGGTAAGACACATGGTCGCTGCCTGTGGGGAGGGTCGCTGCCTGTGGGGAGGGTCGCTGCCTGTGGGGAGGGTCGCTGCCTGTGGGGAGGGTCGCTGCCTGTGGGGAGGGTCGCTGCCTGTGGGGAGGGTCGCTGCCTGTGGGGAGGGTCGCTGCCTGTGGGGAGGGTCGCTGCCTGTGGGGAGGGTCGCTGCCTGTGGGGAGGGTCGCTGCCTGTGGGGAGGGTCGCTGCCTGTGGGGAGGGTCGCTGCCTGTGGGGAGGGTCGCTGCCTGTGGGGAGGGTCGCTGCCTGTGGGGAGGGTCGCTGCCTGTGGGGAGGGTCGCTGCCTGTGGGGAGGGTCGCTGCCTGTGGGGAGGGTCGCTGCCTGTGGGGAGGGTCGCTGCCTGTGGGGAGGGTCGCTGCCTGTGGGGAGGGTCGCTGCCTGTGGGGAGGGTCGCTGCCTGTGGGGAGGGTCGCTGCCTGTGGGGAGGGTCGCTGCCTGTGGGGAGGGTCGCTGCCTGTGGGGAGGGTCGGACTGAAACCAGCAGCTCATATACATAATGCCCTACGCTGACAAATAGATATTGACGTTTCTTCATCAGCAAGAGTGACATGGTTCAAACTTCTTGGAAAGGATCCCGGTCGAGCAATGAAATGAAATTTGGACAGGATGAATCGAATTAGGGCAGTTCAGGATGTCAGTGTTTACAGAAAAGCTGGGAGGTGCATGGGCAACTTACAGTGCCTACGTTTTTATATGTTTTCATAAAAGGGGATTCACATACAAAGCGACTCACTGCATTCACCAGTATAATAGATTGTCTTGTTTATTTCTGTTTCTGGAGTTTTGAAAAGGAAAGACAATTTTTTGTTTCAAGTAACAAAAGTTCTGGGATGAGCTTTAACAGACACGACACAATTCTTGTATGATATCTTTTAGATCAATATTGAGATTTAAATGAGTGGCTGGGAGCTCCTTCAGAGATAGGGTGAGGAGCTCAGTCACACGGGAGGAGCTCGGAGTAGAGCAGATGCTTCTCCACGTCAAGAGTTGCGGTGGCTCGAGGTTGAGCTGTTTTAATTTACATTGAGTTCTATGTGAAAATGTCTGGGTAGCCCACGTGAGTTTAGTCTTGTTTAGTCTGCAGTACCGCGAGAATCCCGCGAACACATGGATCCTTCGGCTCCAAGCTAGTAACACCCTATCCAGTTAATATAATAGATCCATGCCCAGGACATGCTGGACGGACTGTGTCTCTCTCTGGCCTAGAAACGCCCCACGGACGAGCTGGAGGAAGTTTGTGTGGATAGGGAAGTCTGCCACCCGGCAATGGATGAAGCGGAAGAAAATGGATGGATGGAGATGTCAGTAAACCGCCAAAAATTGAAGGAATACATTGCAGTCTTTGATCATGCAATTTAGCTTTGCGTATTATTTTAGAGGTGTAAGGGGGTGTGTAAGCATCACCACTTCACAAGGCTCCATAACAATGTATTTATTTTTACAATAACTTCTCCGTGAATAGCTGTATTTGCTGACAGATTACTATTGCCAGAAGAGAATCCATACACAAAAATTAAAAACACAATCACAATGATACAAAAATACAGTATAAAAAAAGATTTATCATAACAATAGACAGCAGGCAAAAGTACAGTTATGTTCACATCCTCAATGAGACCTTTTTGCTGTTCCTTTTTGTAGCAGTGTTTTTAAGTCCCATAGCTTGCTCTGAAACCTTTCCACCTCCTACTGCGGATTAAAAATAACTCTTGAAAACACAAAAATAGACCTGCTCAGAAGTACAAAGTCTTTCTCTGACCGATCTTATATCCCTCTGCTCTGGTTCAACAAGACAACATAGAAGGGACATGGGCATTGTGCACTCCTTACGTCTCTCCAGTGGATTCCAAGCAAAAGGCCATCACTCTCCCTAATTAGCTGGTCTCTTCTGGGCTGTGACTAAAATCACCTCTGCGGCTCCGTCCTCCATTGGATCACACCTAATTTTAATTACACCCCTCGGAATATTATCCGGGTCTTTGTTCCGCTTCCTCTCATTAAGGAGTCAGACAAATGGGTCTTTAAAATCCTTTAGATGTTGACGCTACATTTTTTCTCTCGTTTCGTCTTCCTCAATAGTCGCGATTATTTCCTGTGCATGCTCTTTAAGCGTGACATACATAATCAGCCAGCAGCTTTGTTTTACCAAGCGAGAGATTGGCTCCTTAAAAAGGGGAGGGGCTTATAGAAATTGACATCGACCATTAAGACCATTTCAGTCTCAAAAATACAGTGCGGTGAGTAAAATTGCGCAACCCCGACTATGGATGATGGGCAAAAAGAACTATTGTGATTTTGATCCGATACCAAATATGTCAAAAGTAAATGATCTTGAACTGAAAAGGGCTGCATGTGATTTGCAGAGTTAGTGCTCTAATTACTGTCCATTTTTTGGTGCTGGCCTCGGCACTGAATACTAAAGCCATCTATCTGCTTGGTTTTAGTTAGAAACTGTGTTCAGCGTCTACTGTGGTGCAAGTTTTTGTTTGGGAATTATTTATTTTTAAAAAGTGCTAAAACCAGCTAAAGGTTACTTTGGATAATCAAAGATCATACATATTGTGGACATATAATGCTCATTGTATTTTGAACTAAGAATGGCTCAACTTTAAACTTTCGTTGAGAAAAAGTAACGGATCAACGTGGGGGCGAGTCCCGGCTCCAAAAGCACATGCACTCCTTCCCGGTGGGGGTGTACCCGGAATAAGAATTACCCAATGCTTTTGTATGCTGTCTTCTTTCCTCTCAAACGGCTTTACAGGATGGTCTAAAAGTGAAACATTCTCAGCACAAAGTGTATAAAATATATATTTTAGTTTTCTCATGAGATGAAAATGACCTCTTTTGTGATTTGATATGTTGCTGTGAGGTTTCCCCTTCTTCTGAAGACATGTAAAATACTGTAGGTGAGGGTTGAAGGACTGTGTTTGTGTGACTGTGGAACTACAGATTAAAATTAGCAACAAAAAACTAGTCTGGTGTATTTACAGTTGATCCTGTTCCTTAATACACACTGTTCTATTAAAACTAAGTTCAACATCTTGTCAATGGGCAAGAGAGTCTGAGTGATTGGTTTTAAAAAAGGCCATTAAAATGATTTCTATCTTAATAATTCATTTGTTGGCCACCGTTGTTCACTTTATTTACTCGCAATGGACTCTGAGCTCTTTGGCAGATGTCAAACTGGACTCCAAGTCAGTTTGCTGCACACTTCTCCTGTCCCCTTGGGGAAAAATCATTTCTTAGCGTTTAACCTGCCCTAATATCGGGAGCAGTGGGCAGTAGGCATAGCGCCCCGGGGGACAGGGCCAGATCAAAGCCACTGCCCTGACACACTGGGCCGGGTTTGATGTCGGGTTCACATCCCCGGAGCTTTAACACGCGGCCTGCCAGATTTCTAAATGTTAGCACAGTCTAATTAAAAGTGAGTAGAAGCTGGCCTTATGGCTGGTTCTATGTGGGAGTCTGTGTGCAAGGGATATTATGGAGAAATGCGTTCCAAGCAACATTTCTGTGTTCTTTTGTTTCAGTGGATGGGACAGTGGTGGTCAATGAGTGCATTCATAAAGAAGGAGAAAGAATTGGACAACTTGCATGGTCTAATTTTAATAGTCACGTAAACCTGGATGCATGGATGGAGGCTCACGCCCAATTTTTGTTCTAATCACCTCAACATGTAGCCACAAAAGACAGACACGTGTGAGACATATTCAAGCAAAATTCATGCTTATAATAAAAAAATACAGGCAACTTGTTCATAGCGTTACAGTCTCTGGAACAAGAAATGAAAACCAATAAAACATTAAAATCACACAAGGGATCACAGTGCATAAAAAACAGAACTGTCTTTAACCTGGATTTGAACATTTTCAGGAAGACTGTTCCAGACTTTATTTGCAAAATCGGAAATGCAGCCTCCCCATGTTTAGTTCTAACTCCTGGCACCAGCAGGAGGCTCGTCCCTGTGCTCCTCAAAGTCCCAGCAGGAGGCTCGTCCCTGTGCTCCTCAGAGTCCCAGCAGGAGGCTCGTCCCTGTGCTCCTCAGAGTCCCAGCAGGAGTCCAGTCCCTGTGCTCCTCAGAGTCCCAGCAGGAGTCCAGTCCCTGTGCTCCTCAGAGTCCCAGCAGGAGGCTCGTCCCTGTGCTCCTCAGAGTCCCAGCAGGAGGCTCGTCCCTGTGCTTCTCAGAGTCCCAGCAGGAGGCTCGTCCCTGTGCTCCTCAGAGTCCCAGCAGGAGGCTCGTCCCTGTGCTCCTCAGAGTCCCAGCAGGAGGCTCGTCCCTGTGCTTCTCAGAGTCCCAGCAGGAGGCTCGTCCCTGTGCTCCTCAGAGTCCGAGCCTGTTTATATGTACTATCAGGACCTGAATCAACACCCTATGATAGACTTGAATACACTGATGTGAGGGTCAAATATGGACGATTTTCCACGGTGAAGATCCCTTATAGAACATTCAGATGTCATTATTTGATATTTGATATATGTGGAAATCCTTTGTATCACTGGAACAATCAGAAAGAGATCAGAACTCATGAGAATCAGGACATGCTGAGAGCAGGCTCAGGCATTGGAACTATTATAATTTCACGACCTCTGTGTTTTCTCAGCACACAATACTTCCCATTGTGTTTCTCATTTGCATCTGTCGAAAAGAACCGTTTGGAGTTGAACATGTTTGGCTCTTGACCCTCTAATTGAAGCACTTTGTTCTTGTTTCTCTTTGCCAGGCATGTAGCGCTCAGTGAAAAATGTTTTAGTGATCGGTCAAAGCTTTGTTTGATCAGAGCAGAGACCTGGTATTTCTTTAGAATATTGTGTTAGATTTGAAGCAGTTGTCGTTTTTAAATTGCTGTGGTTTTTACAAATGTATTTATTCCTTTAGCAGATCTTGTTTGAAGTTTTTCCAGGTAATAAGAACATATATCTTATAGAAATGCAAAACAGGTTGGTGAAACAATTAAAGCAGGATTGTCATATTGTCAAAGTCAGATTGTGTTAATAATAATAATAATAATAATAATAATAATAATAATAATAATAATGCCTTGGTTCTATGCAGCCTTTTTTTGGACACTCAAAGACACTTCTCTCCATACATAATAAATCAGACTACAGCATAGTCTTAATGATTGCTATCTCACTCCGGGTTGGTGGGGGTGTACCCGGAAAGAGAATTACCCAATGCTTTTGTATGCCGCTTTTTTTCCTCTTGAAAACGGCTTTACAGGATGGTCCAAAAGTCGGCTCAACGCAAAGTTCCAGATGTTGTCGATGCTGAGGGGAGCAGTTTTTTGGACCAGCCTTGTTTAGCTGCTGTGGACTTTTTAATGCACTTTCTAAATGAATGGGGCTAGTGCCAGCTAATGCATAAGCTAATGTGTTTATTCACAGTATCCAGCCCCGCGGCCATTTTGAAAAAGTCCACTGAAGGCAATAGTCACATTAGTCAATGACACATTAGTGTCAACGGCAGAGTCCATAACGAGAACATACAGGTATTTGTCATCTTTTGCACATGTGTAATAAAGTTCTGTGAGTCTCTATTTGATACTTTGG